ACCAAACAGCAGAGAGTGAGCATGCAAATTAACAAAATCAGAAATGAAAAGGGGGGCATAACAACGGACTCTGAGGAAATCCAGAGAATCATCAGGTCATACTTTGAAAACCTGCACTCCACAAAATTTGAAAATTTAAAGGAAATGGACGACTTCCTGGATAGCTATCACTTGCCAAAACTAATTGAAGAACAGATAAGCAATTTAAATAGACCTATAACCCCTATGGAAATAGAAGCAGTCATCAAAAATCTCCCAACCAAAAAAAAATCCAGGTCCAGATGGCCTCAGTGCAGAATTCTACCAGAAATTCAAAGAATAGCTTATACCAATTCTTCTCAAAGTATTCCACACAATAGAAGCAGAAGGGTCTTTGCCAAACTCTTTCTATGAGGCTTCAATAACCTTGATCCCCAAGCCACACAAAGACACAACTAAGAAAGAGAACTTCAGACCAATATCCCTCATGAACATTGATGCAAAAATACTCAATAAAATACTGGCAAATTGGATCCAAGAACACATCAAAACAATCATTCACCACGATCAAGTAGGTTTCATCCCAGGGATGCAGGGATGGTTCAACATACGAAAATCCATCAACGTAATCCACCATATAAACAGTATGAAAAACAAAAATCACGTGATCATCTCACTAGATGCTGAAAAAGCCTTTGACAAAATCCAACACCCCTTCATGATAAAGTTCTTGGAGAGATCTGGGATAACAGGGACATACTTAAACATAATAAAAGCTATATACAGTAAACCAACAGCTAACATCAAACTAAATAGACAGAAACTCAACGCAATTCCTCTAAAATCAGGAACAAAACAAGGCTGTCCACTCTCTCCATACCTTTTCAACATCGTACTTGAAGTTCTAGCCATTGCCATGCGACAACAAAGGGGGATCAAGGGGATACAAATTGGGAAGGAAGAGGTCAAACTTTCACTGTTTGCAGATGATATGATAGTTTACATAAATGACCCAAAGAACTCTACCAGGGAACTCTTACAGCTGATTAACACAATTATACATTGTGACAACACTATACTGCACTGTAACACCACAAATATACATTGTGACATCACTATACTGTACTATGACATCACAATTTTATTTTATTTTATTTTTTTGGTTTTTACGAGACAGGGTTTCTCTGTATTGTTTCAGAGGCTATCGGTCCAGCCCAGCCTCGAACTCACAGAGATCCGCCTGCCTCTGCCTCCCGAGTGCTGGGATTAAAGGCGTGCACCACCACCGCCCGTCGACATCACAATTTTATATTGTGACATCACTATACTGCACTGTAACATCACACCTATGCATTGTGACATCACCATACTACACTGTAGCATCACAATTATACATTGTGATGTCACTATACTGCACTATAACATGATAATGCATTGTGGCATCACTATACTGCACTATAACATCACACTTATACATTGTGACATCACTATACTGCACTGTAACATCACACCTATGCATTGTGACATCACTATACTGCACTGTAGCATCACAATTGTACATTGTGGCATCACTATACTGCACTATGACATCACTATTATGCAATTTGACATCACTATACTGCACTATGACATCACAATTATACATTGTGACATCACTATACTGCACTATAACATGATAATGCATTGTGACAACACTATATTGCCCTATAACATCTCAATTATATGTGCCCATTGTCTGGCAAGCTGAGTGTTCAAAGAATGAATAAAAGTATCAAAGACAAGGGAAAAGATCATTTCTTAGCATCTAATTAATCAACAAGAGAATTTTCTTTTTAAGATGCTGCTGGGATCTGTAAGGAATGTAAAGCTGGTCAGGAATGATTGACAGTGGGCATATTCTTCACAATAGAGCGTCTGGAGTATTAAAGCTCTACCCAGAAAGTCTCATTGAAAAGATAATCCATCACCCTAAAGTACCAGACAAAACTGCTGGAATTCTCAAATGCCCCTCCCTTTTAAGTTACACACTCTTTCTGTCTCATACTCAGCTAAAGCACTGACACCCCCAACTCTCTAGTAACAACTGTCAGCAAGCACACACACCCCAGGCATGCCCAGATGACTGGGACTAAACTGTCCTCTCCCTCTTCATTTGCCTTTCATGAGAACCTTTAGATGAGGCATGATTCCAGATTATAGTGACACAGTTAGGGTGTGAGTACATGCCCACTAGTTGTGAAGGATGCCAGGCAGGTGTGGTAACCTCTCACACACCACAGGAACTGGCCTGAGATCCTGCTGCCTGGCCCCCAAGCCTTCCTAATCCATGGCCTGTTTCCATGTCTATTCCCTCTGCCTCCTTGTTCCTCCCACACTCTCCTTTTACTTACATTCATCCTAAATTAATTTCTGGGGGGTTTATTTTTTAAAGCAGTTGTTAACATAAAAACAGTGGCAGGTAAGAGACCCTCTGGGAAATGAAGTATATTCTAGCTTGGTCATCTGGAAGAGCTGGCAGGAGAGCAATTAAAGTCTTTTCTATGCTGCGGGGGAAGTGGGCAACCACGGGCCTGATACTTGAAGTCTGACTCAAGTTGCGCCTGTGTATCCTGAGGCCTGGCGCTCTCTCTGGAGACAATGCTCTTGAGAGAGATACATGCCAGGAAGTGAAACATAAACTGGAAGGAGAATGAATACTCCTGATGGCATGGAGCTTGAAGTGTCATCAAGACATCAATCTAGTCCCTCAGTTCCCACCCGAAGGCAGGGTCACCTAGGAGCCTCCAGAAGCCATGAGACTCATTTCCATTTTCTGCAGAGCAGAGGTCACTGGCAGCCACATGAAGAGTTTGTTAACACTGAATTATTTTTTTTTATTGGACACAATAGCTTTTTTTATTTTAAATAGCTTGCTTCCCATGTCAATCCCAGGTCCCTCTCCCTCCCCTCCTCCCACACATCCCCACCATCCCCCCCCAGCCTCCCACCCTATCCCCACTTCCTTCCACATAGGGAATATCCAGAGTCTGTTATTTCACTCAGGGCAGGGTCCAGGCACTCCCCTAAGAGTCCAGGCTGAGACAGCATCCCTCTTTGTGTTATGGGCACACGATGTCTGTTTGTATGCCAGGGATAAACACTGATCTACTGCCCAGGGCCCCATAGGTTGCCCAGGCCTCCTCACTGACTCTCACACTCAGGGGGTCTGTATCAGTTCCATGCTGGCATCCCATCTGTCAGTCTGGGGTCCAAGAGTTCTCCCTTGTTCAGATCAACTGTCTCTGCTGGTTTTGCCAGCCCATTCTTTGCCAATTTGCTCATCACTCCTCTCTCTCTGTCACTGGGTCCCATGGGTTCAGTTCAGTGTTTAACTGTGGTTGTTTGCCTCTGCTTCCATCAGTCACTGGATGAAGGTTCTAGTGTGGTTATAGACATCAAGTTCATTATCAGGAGTGGGCATTTAAGGTAGTTTCTCCACTATTGCTTAGCTTGCCAGTTGGTGTCATCCCTTTAGATCACTAGAGGTCTCACTGGTGCCAGATCTGTCTTCTAACCTGTGATTCCCTCTTCCCCCTATTCTACCCCCCACTCAACCTTCCTGTTCCCCCATGACCTACTCTCTCTTCTTCTTCTCCCCGTCTCTTCTTCCCAGCTCCCACTCCCTCCCCCAAACCCCTTTTTCTAAATGGCTTTGAACTCACGGCCTGAACACCCTGGAATGAATGGGGTCCACCAATTGCAGAGATGCTGTAGAGATTGCCTGACCTGATACCCTGCAAAACTGGGATCTGTATGAACTGGAGGAATCTTTGTTCGCCAACGACTCTAACCAACCTGAGAGATCTGAGCAGCTTGGGGTATAGGAAAGAAGTTCATGGGATCAAACAAAAGACCAAATGGGCTGTGCTCAGAAAGAACAAGACACAGACTTAGCAGGAATATCCATCACACACACAGCAACACAGACATCAGGGAAACTGGGGAATGGGCCAGGCCATTGCTTTGCTTCCTGTTACTTCACAGAGGATTCAAGTATACAGAAAAAAAAACATGTGCCATGCCTCACCTATGCTGATGGCTTTGTCTAGTTGGTACACCTTTTCACTGGCACTAAAAACTCAGGCCCCTTTATCTACCTCCCCTACCTGAATCCCCTGGGGATGGCAGATTCCCTAAAAGGAAAAATCCTTCGGTGCTACAGGGCAAGTGAGCAGCCCCAGACCTGATACTTGAAGAGCGACTCAAGTTGAGCCTGTGTGTCCTGGAAGACATTTCCAACAGGAAGCAGAGTGGACACCAGAAAGTCATTAAGGGATTCCCACCCCTGACTGGAAGGCACCCTAAGTTCAATGACTCTCAAGCATGGGGTCCACACTATGTCTTCTACAGCATGGTGTATGAGCTCATGCCTTATGGCTGCATGAAAAACCCAAGGCTATGTCTAAAACCCTGATATGAATTTTGAACACGTGTTCAAAATTAAAGCATACTTGGATCTAAGGTCTTTAATTTCCTCTCTCTTGTTGCTACAGAACACAAAGCCACTTTGAAAACAGAAGCCTGAGTCGTGCAGTTGGGATCTCATACCCTAGGATAGATAGCCATATGGATAATCCCAGAGGCAGAAGCAGGGTCTCACTCACTGAGGTGTGGTGTATGGAGCCCAGAGTAAGCTAAGACATGGCTTTCCTGGGACAGATCAGGTTTCCCTTTCCAAGCCAGGATAGGATCCCAGCATGTGGGCTGCTGGGGTTGTTCTGCCTTTCTGTTTCTTTGAGACAGAGTCTCTTAGCCCAGGCTAGCCAGGAACTCAGTATATGATCCAGGATGGCCTCAAACTCAGGGAAACCCTCCTAGCTTAGTGGCCTCCAGCACTAAAATTATAGATGTAAAACACCACATTGGGCTTGAACTATGAGTTTTTAAATCAGAAAAATCTCTGCAAACTAGGGACACTCTACCTGGTCATTCTAGTCTATCCCTGACATTAATATAAGCACAACTCCTCCTCTGTAATCCAGGCATCCTGGACAGCCCCCCACTGGCCCACTCCCAATGCTCTGCAGCAGTCTGGACTTGAAAATCTGAAGAAACTAACTTGTGATTTAATACACTGACTTCCGAGGGCATTTAAAGGTAGGAGTCCAGCAACTTCCTTGAAATTCCTTGGCCACACTCTTTCTAGGAATGCTTCAGACATTCACAGGCAGGCAGCATATGACAGGGCATGACAGAGCTGTTAACATCACTCCCACCCCGAGTTTTCTATTAACAGACTCCTGAGTCACTTGGTCCCTGGGAGGTGGGGAGTGGGCAGACTTACACATAAGTTCCCCTGAGGACCAGGCTGTTATTTACTGCTAAGCAGAATAGCAGAGATTCATTTTGCACTCCATAATACTTCTACCAATAATAGTAATTACAGTTCCATCAACATTACCATTTACGTATGAAATATTATGGCCCGGATGTCTAATTAACATAGTAATTAGACATATTAATGTATCTCCTTCTTCATTTCAAATCCATAATCTCCTCTAATTGCTCCTAATGTACTCAGTTTGAATGGATGCTGATATTTTGAAGTGTAAAATTGTAAGTTACCCCATTAACCAAAATCCTGTGGCAGCAAAATCATGCTGTATGCAATTATACCTCTTGTCTGTGCTGTTACTAGCCAGTGGGACTGAGGAGGACAAGATATTTTCTATAGTAAATTACCCAAGCAAGGTGGGACTAGGTATTCACATTTTCTCACATTTCCTTCCTTTGATATGGTTTTACAGAGAGATCTCAAAGACAGTAGTGATTGCAATCCTGCCAGTAAAAAGCCAAGCAGCTCAGGTCTCCAAGCCCTAATATGAGCGCTGTTTGGACTCATCAACAGACAGAGTTGCTCTAGGCCATCATGAGCCTGGGATCTGGGGCCGCTGTCCAGAAGCAGAGTCTGTCTCCACTTCTCCAAGTCCTACCTCTCATCCCGCAGCACGACAAACCCAGACTCAGCACAGGGCCCTCATACTGGGGCATGAACATCAGTCATCCTGATGTCTCACAGCCTCTCATGCTCAGTATCATCCACATTTAACAGATCCCCACCAACGGCTGGGAAATGACCGAATCTCTACACATGAGGACCCCCAACCAGGCTTTTCCTCACTGTAAAGTTACAGACAGTGTTGATTGTAGAGAACCCTCTGTAACGCAGCAAGAGAATAGAGGTGGGACCTGGCAACTGCAGTACCAAGATTAACAGGTGGAAGAATTCCATTTGCAGAGAAACCCTGGAAACCTTCCCCTCCCTGAGGGAGTCTTCATACAATTACAGAACATGCTCAGGAAAAGCTGGAAACCTTCCCTTCCCGACCTAGGCTTCATCTAATGGACAAAGCATGTGTAAGAAAAGCCCCCATAGAAAACTGGGGAAGGTGGGTGCTACATAAATGTCCCATAAAGAGTTGTGTGCTTCATGACCTTGGGCTTTTGGGGGCTTTACCACCAATTCACTAGTCTACTTCCATCCCTAGTTCTTTCCTCCCTACCAAAATGTCTCCACTTCTTCTAAGCCTGTGTCCATTGTCCCAGAATAAGAACCTGGGTATTTCTTTCTTTTTTTCCTTTCCTGGCCTTAAATAAAGCCATGTTTATTCACAGTGAGGGGACATCTTTGTCACCCATGTGTGGAGATGGCCAACATGCTTACAGGGAATGATGGGATGCAGGACCCTTATAAGGGCAGAAATGACTTCTGTAGTCTCAAGGGAAGGTGAAAAATGTAGTCTTTCAGCAGGAAACTATCATTCCTGACTCTAAGAGGGGATATAAACGAAGGGCAGGGGCGTTATAGCTACTTTCTGCTGAGAAGGGTTTTGTCGGAGTGGGTAGTTCTTGGTCCACTGAAGAGCAGCCCTCTGGTCCTGGAAGAGGGAAAGAGTCTTAACTTGATTGGCTGTGATGGATTGGACGATTACCATCTTGTATTCCTGAGGAGGCTTGGAAAATTAACATTAGAGCACTGAAAGCAGATGGCTTGCTTACAGAGAAAACAGATTTTTCTGGAAATGTTCATGGAGGGGCAAGGACAGAGGTGGGAGAGATGGAGTGGGCCAGAGAGAGGAAATGGACATAGAGGTGACTCAGGGTGACAGTGACTGGTAACTGGTCCCTTTGCCAGGATTATTGCATGAAAATGAGCCCACAGAAGTATCAGGAGGGTACACAGCATCAAAGGAGGGGACAAGAGGAAACAGAGGACTAATGTAAAGGATTGTATCTGCCTGGGGAAAAGGGGTGCAGGTCCTTTTTAGCTGATTTCCTCCATATCATCTAAAAGGTCTTTTTGAGATCTGTTGTAGGGCAAGAGGCGTTGGGAGAGCTTACAGAACATTTTGCTTGGGTATTGGAGGAAGTTCAGCAAGTAAAACATCTAAAAGCCAGAGTGAAAACATTTAAGTATGAGGATAATAAGGATGAAATGATTGATCTTGGGAAGGAGCCAGGGTGAGGGGGAACCAGAAGGAATTTTTGTCTGGTCCCATTGCAAACCAGTTAGGATCTGTTGGTCTGGAAGCAGTGTTGGATCCCATTCTTGACAGTAATCAGATTTGGTCCTTTTTAATGGTGGAGTACTGCAGCAGTCTAGGAGTCGAACTGGTCCTGAAAGATGTTAAGCTGATCTGAGCTGTTGAGAGGAAGGTTAATTGATACAAAGGAGGCTTCAGTTCAACTGTTTCAGTTCTGAGTCCCATAAACAATGTCCAGAGTATCAAGAAGAGGGATGAGTTGAGTGAACCATTAGTTCACCTTTCAGAGGTCACCAAACTGCTTTTAGGGGTTGAGGGTGCCGATCTCTCCATATCTGCTTCGATCTGACACATGGTTGATGAGGGAACTACAGTCAGAGTACCTCAGAAGAGAGCCCACCCAAGGGGCCATGATAAACTCAACAGTTGTCACAGTTAGGAGGTGATAATTGTACACCTTTGTGGGGAACATTACGTGACAAAGTAACACGAGGCAAACTTTTACAAGATTAACATGAATCACTATAGCATAAGGTTAAATATAAAGTTAACATAAGGTTAAAGCAATCGTACAACTGGCTGGACCATGGACCAGAGCCCTGTAGCAGGATGGGGTGACTGCAATTAACTGTTTGTTTACATCAGACTCCTGCATGAGGAACAAGCACCTGGAAGCTTTGTAAAAGAAGTCAGTTAAAGTCAGTATATAAGGGATAAATAGAAACAGAAGGTATCCAAGAGATAGTTCTTGTTTTCATACATGATGAACTTTGATATTTGTTTTAAATACTAACAATTCCAGCAATTAGTTAATGAACAAAAAACATTATTTCTCAAGTAAAATGCAACTGTTGGTTAGAAACAATTTGATAAAATGAAATTTTAAAAGTTGGAACTATTACCTTAAATGGCCATATCTAGTATTTGAAAACATGACAATATATATTTTTGTTAACATCAAATTTCTATACCTATATTCCAAAAAACAATTTAATTCTAAGTTGTGTTTCCCAAAAAGAAATAGTTTTTAATTTCCAATTTAAAAATACTCCCAGAGATAGTAACTGCCTTGCTTTCTCCTCAACAGACACTTCTCTAAACACTCTAGAACATCCTAAGTTACTGCCCGAGTGACTACCATGCCAAAAGTAAAACGATTCATTTTTATAAAGTTCTCTACAATTAACCCCGTTAGCATAGCCTTTTAAAATTCCTCTATGACATTTCCCTCAACCAACAGATGAAAGGTGAAAGCCATGATCTCAAATCTGTAATAAATAATTTACATCACAGATTGAATTGCCATAGAAGGCTAACACCAACTCTTGACTCCTCCAGCTGATGGACAAAGCTCTAGGTCACTACATACTGACAGCAGTAAGCAGGTTTCTTAACACCATTCTATTTAAAAACAGACTGATTGTTTAGGAGCATAATTTGTAAACCAAGATAAGCAAATTAAATGAGTCTTAAATAGTGGCTTTGGGGATGTTTTAGAAAATATGAACAAGCATCATGACCACATGGCTCTGTGACAGGAAAGCAGAGCAGAATTGTACAGGAGAAGACACTTTGCTCTTGAGAACAGCTAGGAAGTAAACTACTTCCCATAGAGGTTACAAGTGGAAAGGGGTTTAACTCTGAATTCTCCCTCCTTTACCTTGGTTTTGTTAACTATCTCTAAACTTTTTGCTGAAACTTTCACTGTATTTTAGGATTTGTAAGTTTATTGAGTGTGAAGTATAAATCGTTTTAATTTGCTACAACATACCATGTGTGTAACTTGCACTCAACTCAAATTTAAGAAAAAGGCCTGTGCCTTTTGGGCTCACCTTGGACCAAGTGGCCTACTGCCATCTTGGCTGAGGACCTAGGCTCACTGTAGAATAAATAACAACTATGTGGCTTGCCACCATCTTGGCTAGTAACTCAAGGATAGAACCAGGGTGTGTGACTTTATCTCTACCTTGGCTAAGGTGACCATATAAATCAACTAAGACAGTACCCATAAAACAGCTAGAGCCACTGAGACATCTGCTTATCATTGTATCTTCCTTTTATTAGACTATGGGGGGGGGTAACACCGGGCCTCCAAGATGGATTGTTTTATTTTCCCTACATTACAGAGGCAACAGCAGGTCTCCAAGATATTTTGAATTAAGATGGATTCTTGTATGATGAGTTTTGTCCTTATCTGTATTGCCTGAGGAGAAAGTCTGGTTCCCAGGGGATGACTGTTTCTCCTTGGGTAAGGGGAGGGCAGTTTCCATCAGAGGACAATTGGTACTGCTTCGATAGTAAGCTCATAACATGGAGATCTATTTGTGAGGCTCCGTTGTTCCTGGAATCCAAGGTGACTTCAGGTTTAAGGCAATGGCTGAAAACTTGTAGGTACCACTCAGGTAGATCAGAAGCTTGTAAAAGCTGACTTTCAATGTCCCTGCAAATCTTGACAGATCTTCATTAAATGATTAACATACCAATGTGCAAAGCAGACCAGGGATCTAACCCAAAGCAAAGGAGACAAGTACAAAAGGAAGGCAGAGTTGCAAGCCTTTTATCTGCTTCCAGTTACCTTGCAGGCCTGAGGGAAGAGCCTGAACTTTTAGTTAAGTAGCGTCTAAGTCCATTTACACAGAGAATGCAAAGAGGGCCTAGAAGAGTTCAAGAAGTCTGTGTTGCATAAGGCCAGTGCAGCAGTTTGAAGGAACGTGGTCCCCATAGGCTCACAGGGAAAGGCACTATTTGAATGATCAGGAGGTGTGGCCTTTTTGGAGAAAGTATGCCACTGGCTTTGTGGTTTCAGAACCCAAGCCAGGTTCAGGGGCTTTGGCTCTTCCTGCTGCCTCCAGATATGGGTGTAAAACTCTTAAGCCATTTCTCCAGCACCATGTCTGACTGCACACTGCCATGCTTCCCACCATGATGACACTGGACTAAACCTCTGAAACTGTAGGCAAGCCTCAATTAAATGTTTTCTTCATAAGAGTCATGGTGTCTCTTCACAGCAATAGAAACCCTAAGACACCCTCCCATACGGAAACCTTGCCAGTTATGATTGAGTACGCCTTCAGTGCTTATGATGGTAGTTTTAATTGTCAACTTCACGCAAAATAAAATAATCTAGGAGAGAGTCTCAATAAGAGATTGTCTAGATCAAGTTATCCTGTGGGATTGATTGGCTGTTACATGATATGGGAAGCCCCCTGTCTGAGATGGGTGTCACCATTCCCCAGTTTGGGACCTGAACAGTACAAAAGTGGAGAAAGCAGACTGAACACTGAGCATGCATGAGTTCATTTCCCTTTGCTCTTGACTATGGATGTGTTATGACCAACTATTTCAAGCTCCTGCCTTGACTTCCCCCACTACGATGGACTATAAACTGGAATCGTGAGCTACAATAAACCCTTTACTATCTAAGTCGCTTTTGACTGGGGGATTTCATCATAGTTAAGGAAATAAAATTAGAACATTCCAAACTGGAGTATGTTTCTTGCCTTCCCTGTAGCCTGCCCCATCCCCTCTGCATCTACCCCTGGAAGGAGTTAGAGCCCAGAGTAATCTCAGCACAGTCTTGGGATGGAGGGGTGGACTATCTACTCCCCTCACTGCTGGACACTTTCCTGGGTCTCTAAGACCCTCTACCCCATTGGTCCATTAAACACTGTGGTAATGAAATGCCAGTATTCTGAGTCTAACCACCGATGTGAGGAAGAGGCATTTCATTCTCCAATTATAAGCTGATTTCCAGTGTCCAGCCCTGTTCTGCATTTACCATCCCCTCTTTAATTAATTTAGCATCTCTCCACCAGCAGTTGCTAAATTGCCTATGCAGAGACAGGGAAAATTGAACTGAAGCCTGCTCCCAGCCCAAGGTGAACGGGTCTCTGGAGCACCTGGGAGGTGCTTGGTTATTTGAATCAGAAACCATTTATCTGACATTTAGCTTAAAAAGCAATTAGTCAGGAGGAAAAGACAAAGACATTTCGAAGGGGAGGAGGTTGGAAGGCCCTAGGCCAAGTGCAGGGAAGACCTTCTAAAGCCA